ACACACACACACACACACACACACACACACACACACACACACACACATGCACACACACACACACACACAAACACACACAAAAAAAAACAAAGTAAAGAAAGTGGGCTTTGAGGGTGGTGTGGCCCTTCGCCAGACCCTCCTAACATTTCTGCTTATCTGTTGCCGCCCCACCCATCCACCCACCTACAAACTGGATGGCCCTGAGTTTCTGGTTATGAAATCCAAACTTGCCCACTTGTCCAATTGGCAGCCCCCGAAATTCAGGCTGGCACACAACCGCTAAGGAGAGGGGGTGCCTTGCTACCAATCACAAACTTCTCTTGTGACGCAAACATAGTCGCCTCAAAAAACAAAAAAAGAGGAAAACCTCAGTTTTGGCAATCCGTCATCTACCACAGTTTGCCACCGCCACCCATGCTTAAAATGCTGCTCAAATTTTGATGGATATCCCGAAGGACATGCCCCCTGCGCAAGAATGACACACATAAATCGATACAGAGAAGATTGGCATGGCCCCCTGCGCAAGGACGACACACATACGTTGAGAAATAGTGGAAAAAAGGGGGAAAAAAAAAAAAAAAAAAAAAGTTCGTCAATGAAAGATAAAAGTCAGCTTTGGAAGTGTAACCCTTGTTCTGCACACGCAGAGCCCAAGGGGTGCTGACGGATGTCGCGGAAAACCTGGTCTTACATGTCCCTAATTTCAGGGTTGTCAACTTGTCGGCGGATAAGTTGGAGCGAAGGCAAGATCGCTTGCTCTGTTACTCAGAAAAGCAAGACTCTTTTGTTTGTTTGTTTTTTAATCACCCAGTAGGGCCAGTACCTTCAAGCCTCTACTTCCCAAAGCAGATTTCTTTTCCGTTTGTTTGTTTGTTTGTCTGTTTGTTTTGTTTGTTTTAATCAAATCTTATATACAAGGCTGGGAAAAAAACGGGCCCAGCTTCCCTTAAATAAACAGTTTGTTGGGACCAATGGTACGTGCCAGGCTCATCGGCCAAGCCCCAAACCCGGCCAAGCCCCAAACCCGGTCACCAAGTCTCGAAAAACCAAGCACACAAAGACCTCTTCGTATTTTTCCTATTCTACTGCTCTCCATCATCCTATCTTGTGCTGGGAACCGGGCCCAGCGTCCCCTACTTATACTACTCTGAACTCTGTGGTACTCTGTCCACGTATCCAATGCCGGGAGTCGTCAGGCCCATCGGGCCCATCGGGCCCAGCATCCCGTATCCTGGTTACCATCCCTACCAATCGGTCCGTCAACCTATCTTGTGCTGGGAAACGGGCCCAGCGTCCCCTAATTATACTGTTCTGAACCGGAGGTGATACTCTGTCCCACCTATCCTTTGCCGGGAGTCGGGCCCGTCAGGCCCAGCATTTCCGTATCCTGGTTACCATCCCTACCAATCGGTCCATCAACCTATCTTGTGCTGGGAACCGGGCCCAGCGTCCCCTACTTATACTATTAGGAACCGGAGGTGATACTCTTTCCCACCTATCCTTTGCCGGGAGTCGGGCCCGTCGGGGACAGCATCCCGTATCCTGATTACCATCCCTACCAATCGGTCCATCAACCTATCCTGTCCCGGGAACCAGGCCCAGCGTCCCCTACTTGTACTGCTCTGAATTCTGTGATATCCAACGGTGAGAACCGGGTCCAGCATCCCGGGCCCTATCTTGTTTACCACGCCTACCAATAGGTTCATCAACCTATATCTTGTGCTGGGAACCGGGCCCAGCGTCCCACTTTTTCCGTTTCCTTTTTTTGTTCCACAAAAGAACCGCCGGCCCAGCGTCCCCTAGTCTATGCTATTCTCTTTTCTTTGGTCCCCTGTCAACCTATCTTGTGCTGGAAACCGGGCCCAGCGGCCCCTAGTCATACTATTCTCTATTGTTTGGTACTCTGCCAATCTATCCAATGCTGGGAACCGGGCCCAGCGTCCCGTACCGTATTTTACTACCCTTCCTACCAATCGGGTCAGGCCACAATGCCAAAGAATCTCATTTGCTACAACAAATGAAGGTCGATACCAACCCCCAACCCCCAACCCCCCCCCCCCCCCCTTCACGACCATAATTTACATTTAAAAAAAAGCTAACAGAGTGACAACCAATCAGTGTAAACAAGAATATAACTGTGACAAACTGCAAAAAAAACAAACTACAAACGAATTTACAAAAAGAAAAATGAAATTTTAGTTCCGGTCGATTCCCATCCCGTCGATGCAATACGGAGCAAGCCAGAGAACAGGTTCCAGTGCTTAAGAGACAGTCTGATAGATTGGGACGAATCCCGTCGCGTATTTACACTGCACGGCATGCGCACCAGACAAAAAGAGAACTGCCACCACCTCTTTCTTTTTTTCCTTTTGTTTCTTTTTTTTTTGGCTGTGTGCACCAGCCATTTTGGTCCCACAGCACTGTTCAGTGTTCACCCTATTTTTTCAGTGGTAAGCACTCTTTTTTTTTTTCTTTTTTTTTTTTTTTCAGTGGTAAGCACTCTTGAGTCTTGACAGAAGAAAAAAAAAAGTTTTTTTTTTTTTTTTTTTCAGTGGTAAGCACTCTTGACAGAAGAAAAAAAAAGTTTCCAAGAGTTCATTTGTCCATCGGATCAGGGGAAGATTCTATAACTTGGGTCACTTCATCAACAGTTCAGGGTGTACTGCTCAGACACAAGGGCTCGGTGCATTTTTTTAATTTTCCCTTCCCTTTCTTCAAGTTCTACCTCCTCTCATTTTATTTTTCATTCAAATGGCCCAATGGACCACAGACAAGAAGATATAAAACTGATCAGAATTGGGGAAAAAAAAAAAAACTGATCGGAACAGATACTACACTTGATCTTAGCCAAAAGGCCAAGTCGCACCGCGCTGGACCTTTTCGTGTGTGTGTGTGTGTGCGTGTGTGTATTGTCATATTCGCTAAACACTAAAAAAAAAGCACGACTGTGCCAGACTGTTCCGTCGGACTTTCACTGACTTTTGTCCTGTCACACAAATGTCACACAACTGCACAAACGCGCACAAACAGGGTGACCAGTGTGTGTGTGCGTGACTGTGCCGGACTGTTTCCTTGAACCGTCACGGACTCATCAAGAGGTTGAACCCCGACAAGTCTGCGCGGGATGCCGTTGACCGATGCAATGGATAAAACCAAGTCGCCCAGAGTTAGTCATGCCCCTGAGAAAAGTGGTCGCTTTTTACGCACACCAACCCTGCAGTACTGAAAGACTTTCGGTCAAACCCCAGACAAGAACGGCAGTACGTCTTAGACACTAGTCTGTCACAGCCATAAAACCCACACTACACACCCACTCGGCCAAGGATACCGACTGGCATGACCGCTAGCATGGTCCCGATGCTAGACGCATTGGTCCACCTGAGCGGAGAGCTTAGCAAGGCCCTGTCGTGTCCGGAATCAAGCTCTTTGTGTCTGTTGTGCAGATACCACCGATGCTCCTGAGGGGCACAGCGGATGCACGGACATGGACATTAACAAGCGCACCACAGAAGGCACAGCTTTCTAGCACTTCCTTGCCACTAGGTCTCCTACACCCCTTACTCTGTTTGCCGTAACAGCTAAGCTCCCCATCGATGATGCCGCAGGGTTAAGTGTCTCTTATTCTTCTTCTTGAGCATACACAGCTTTGCTGCCGCCGTTTTCCTTTCGAGTGATATGGACCACTAGAACACCATTGGAACTTTTTTCGGTACCGTGGACGCCAACTACAATCCTGACGAACTGTAACGATCCGTGGTTGAGAATCACCAGGAACTATAACCCTAGCAAGTGTGGTGGCTCAGTTGGCTGTGGGTTCCATTCTCGTGGGCCCTCACCTCCATTGCGCACGCTTCGTCTGTGTTAAAAGACACCACACATACTTGCTCCCGGACCTACCGCAGCAGACAGGACCTTGGTGAAGGGGTTGGGGAGGACTGACTGACGGGCTATCACTGAGATGAGAACTGGTGGCTTTTGGGGGGGGGGGGGGGGGGGGGGGGGGGGGGGGGGGGGGGGGGAGAGGGAGTGAGGGAGGGGGGGAGGGGGGGGGGGGGGGGGGGGGGTGGGGAGGGAAGGTCAGGGGTTGGAGGAGGAAACGGCTCTAAGGAAGGAGTGGATTGGGTGGGGGATGGTGTCCTTCTCGGCTGTGAGCAGGGTAGTGACAAGGTGATAACTGAGAGGCGGTCGCTTGGGGAGCACTGCTCTACAGGGCATCATCATGGAGGGTAGGTGAATATTCCAGGGGAGAAGTGGCTGATTGGGGGTGAGTACTACACTGGGTCCTGGGATGGAAGGGTAGTGGCAAGGTGTTATAGAGGGCTTGGTCCACCCTGGGAGCGGCACTACTCTGTGAAGGCACCATCATGGAGGGTGATGGGCGTCCTAGTAGGGAGTGTGCATATTAGGGTGTCATACCTTGGGTCGTGGGCAGTAGGGTATTGTCACAGGGCTTTGAAGTGGGGTCTATCTCAGTAAAGAGGGGGGGGAGGGGGTGGGGGAGATGGTTAACAAGGGGGCATGGTTATCAAATGACGAATCAGGAGCAGACCAGCAGACAGAATAGAAACAACGGCTGTCCTGCCCTTAGGGTGGAGTTCAATACCAAGACTATACGACTACGAAAAAGGAGGACCTTAAACGCAAGAACTAAGCGTCACCAACCGAAGAATAAGAACAACAATGATAGAAAACCAGATGATGTGAACAGCAGCGGCTGTCATAGGTTAGAGACTTTGGTGTTGGGCATTAGAAACTGCCTGTAGGAGCTCAGGGAGAAGGATCAGATATACAGAGGGACCCAGGTACTGACCTTTGGGGGACCCTAAGAATGATCAGATATACAGAGGGACCCAGGTACTGACCTTTGGGCGACACTTTGGGTCTACCCATGAGACCCAAGGTCTGTAGAGAGAATGCTTGCACCTGGTGCCCAAAGTACCCATACCACAGGGCTCGTACCTGTCGGGTACAGGGCTCATTCGAATATGCTTCAACCAGAGGTAAGTGGGGTACAGGGCTCGTTCGAATATGCTTCAACCAGGGGTAGGTGGGGTACAGGGCTCGTCTAAATGTGCTTCAACCAGAGGGCTGAATGGGGGGGTCCTACTTTGTGCTGGTCCCTGCAACCTACGTCCTGTCTGGTCACCCCACCAAGACGGTAGAAGGGTGCTTGTCCTGGGTGGTATACACTGAGGCGGGACTAAGGGACTGGGGCTGCGCTTGGGAGAACCGACAAAAGGAGGGTGGGTGGGGTCTCGTGAGCGGAGTAAGACCCAATAACAAAACAAAAAGGACAAATGAACTATAAAGAACCCTCTTCCCACTCCAGGCCTCTCGTTCCTACCCCCCTTGCCTTCTCCTTTGCCAAATTGCCCCACATCTTCAGGTCTCCTTCTGTTTAGTATACAGCTGACATAGTGTCTCAGGTACACAAACCAGCCTCTAGCATACCTGACATAATGTCTCAGGTTGGCAAGATTTTTAACCCCATCAGCCCAATACACTAAACATATAGGGCCTCGCTCCACTACTCTCCACATGCGCAAAAGACAAAAACATGGCAAGGCATCTTTCCACGTTCTAGCAGAGTATTCAGTCTCATTTTGCACATTCTGAGAGTCGCGGAGCGAGGCCCATAGCAATTATAGATAGATACGGCAGAGAAGTTGATCGACTGAATGCTCTCTCACTTCACAGGGCGCGTCAAAACTCCAGATTCCAGAGAAATTCCCTTTCTTCAAGTACTTCCTGACGTTTGCTGGAGCTGAACGTCTTTCAGGCCATACTAGGCCATACTCACACAAGGACTTTGCCGAATGGATGTATACGACCACTTTTGGGAGCCATCGGCCTGGATGCACCTGACCGCAACTACGTCCACAGAGAAGTGGAAAAGTCCGACCGTGAGTTATGTCCTCAATATTGTCCAGTGTTCCACAGCCATCCCAAGGCGTTCTCTGCTAGTCTGCTGCACAACTCTGCACTTAGTCAGAACCATCGGCCTGGATGCACCTCACCGCAACTACATCCACAGAGCAGTGGAAAAAGTCCAACTCTCCTGAACTTAGTCGGAACCATCGGCCTGGATGCACCTAACCGTGACTACGTCCACAGAGAAGTGGAAAAAGTCCCAACTCTGCACTTAGTCGGAACCATCGGCCTGGATGCACCTAACCGCAACTAGGTCCACAGAGAA